GAATGATAATGCGCCTGGGAGGCCCGAGCCGAAGGGTGTGGTCCTGAAAAAAGGTCCCTGCGTGGGGGATCCCAGGCAGATTCGGCGCCGGAGAGGGGGCAGGCCAGGGGCGGAGGCTTGGCCACGCACGGGGCGAAAGGGGACTTCCCCCGTCAGGGGTGGGAGCGGGGGCCGACCGGTGGCGAAGGCGCTGAGTGCAGATGGAGAAAGCGTGCCAGGAAAAGGGCCGATTGCAAACACGCCGGCGCACCGCGGGCGAGTACCGCCCCCCCCCCCCCCCCCCGCCCCCCCCCCCCCTCCCCCCCCCCCCCAGCGCCGGCCCAATGGGTTGGACTTGGCCGGCGCTCGCGTCTAGGAGCGCTGTGGGGCCTGGACGGGGGGAACTAGTGCAGGGGGTGTACGCCCGGCCCCTGGGGCATGCTGCGAGGGGGGGCGGTTGAGTGTTGGACTCTCCGCGAGGGTGTGACCGGTCGACCCGCTGGGGGGCGGGGGGGGGGGGCCTGCGGGGAGCCGGGTACACCCCGGCCCATGCCCCTCGCTCCAAGGGAACGCGGTGGTGGGCGGGGGGGGGCGGGACTCCGGTGCTTGACCCCGCCTCCGGGCCATGCCGCGGACGAAATGCGTGTTCCAGGGCGGAACGGGGCACGCGAGGGCCGGCCAGGATGGGAGTCTCTTTGCAACGGCCTCGGCCGCGGCTGACACTCGTCGTGCGGCCTGCGGCCCGGGAGCAAGGGGGAAAGGCCGACACGGGGGATTGTGCCAATGTAACGCATCTCCAGGGCACATGCCGCGAGCAAGAGCCTGCCGGGTGCGAGCGGGCCGGCGAGAGGACGCTAGGCCGGGGGCACACACACACACACACACACACACACACACACACACACACACACGCACACACACACTTGTCGAAGGGTTGGAGGGCTAGAGCCGCTCGAGGGGGGCGGGGGGACAACGCCGGCGACGGGCGCGCTGCAGAAGCGCTCTGCCTCGCCCTCTTGCATACACACACACACACACACAC